GGATGATCTCGGCTCGAAGTAACTTTAGTTCGGGGTAACAGGGTACCCGAGGTCGCTTTGTAGCGAACTGACCACGCCGAGTTGTCACTTTATGTTGAGTCATGTCCATGTGTCGAATTGACCATGCTGAGCTGTTACTTATGTCGAGTCACGTCCACATGTCGAACTGACCATGCTGAGTTGTCACTTATGTCGAATCACGCCCACGTCTCCCTGTTACGAGGTCGGGCCAAATCCACCCTCATCATTTGTCCCCCACTCCTGAGTTGAACGTAACTCGATGAAGGGAGTAGATTGCTCCTCTTGGCCTGAAATGACTAATTCGATGAGCTCGTAAGCGTCGATTCAATTCCTTGGGCTTTGGGAGCGACTCGCAGTCTACTTCCTTACCCTTGATTTTGCCCATGCCGAAGAGGCGACTGGGTCTTATGCGGTGCCGAGGTCTTTTATCAGTTCGACACTTTAGCCCTTAGGCTCTGGGAGCGACTCGTAGTCCACTCTCCTTGATCTTTGATTTTGCCCATGCCGAAGAGGCGACTGGGTCTTATGTGGTACCGAAGTCTTTGCCAGTTCGRCACTTTAGCCCTTAGGCTCTGGGAGCGACTCATAGTCCACTCTCCTTGATCTTTGATTTTGCCCATGCCGAAGAGGCGACTGGGTCTTATGCGRTGCCGAGGTCTTTTATCAGCTCGGCGCTTTAGAGCTACGACTGCACTGCATCAGCCTCGTTAGTGATGCCGGTCACTCACTCCTACAAGAAGCTACTGGGAGCTTCGACTTATGGGGGCAGCACTATTGACGTTTGGTCACCAGYTCGCACGGGAGCCTTGGAAGGCTCGACCGGCAAGGGCGTTCGTGCAGACCGTTGGCCGCCAACTCCCACGGAAGCTACGAAGAGCTCATCTTGTAGAGGGTACCTCGCGAAAAGGACTGATGAGGGTTTATCCGAGTTGAAATAAAGTCGGTAGAGCTGCTTGGTCTGTTTTCCATCAACTTCCTACTTAGTCTTCGAGTTCATAAAAAATGGAAACTAGAAAATGAGAGCTTTAGTTTCTAAAAGGTGAGATAAAGACGGTGCCAAATGATGTAGCGCAATCTGGCTACTCCCTGTAGGAGATGATCTGGCTACCAGCAACGACGGGCTAGATGAACCTGCAAGAGATGAATYAGAGAACCCGGGGTTGTTTACCCGGCGGGGTTTCTCCGATGCTTAAGTTAGCTCTTAGTTGTGAGCTGAAAATGTATTAGATTGTGAGAGAGCTAGAGAGCAGAGATTAYGCCTCTCTTCGCCCYTGGGGGGTGAGGCCTTTATATAYTGGAGTCCTCGCRGGTTTGGTGGAGTAGTTCCTRGATCCCCRCTGTGATGGGATCCGTTTCYGTGTTAGGTGGGGATAAYGTCACCAACCGGTAAGGTTGCCCATTTCCTCCTGAATCGGGGAGTGGGTGAGCTAATATAGCCRTTACAAGGCTCGATCCCGTAAGACRCGGGGTACGATGGTGAGATCCTTGGAATTATCATGCRGYAGTTGGTGAGCATCACYTGAGMTCGTGTTCTTCGGACCCGACCTGTTGTGAATGCCGAAGTGCCTTAGTACCGAGGTGGATTCTTCCCAAGGTGGTCCAGCTGTCCGAGCTCGATCTGTAGGGGACTTGGTACCGCTATCTTGGTCGCGATCTGGTACCGAGGTGATCTTAGTTCGGGATGATCTCGGCTCGAAGTAACTTTAGTTCGGGGTAACAGGGTACCCGAGGTCGCTTTGTAGCGAACTGACCACGCCGAGTTGTCACTTTATGTCGAGTCATGCCCATGTGTCGAACTGACCATGCTGAGTTGTTACTTATGTCGAATCACGTCCACGTGTCGAACTGACCATGCTGAGTTGTCACTTATGTCGAGTCACACCCACATGTCTCCCTGTTACGAGGTCGGGCCAAATCTGCCCTCATCAACATGGATTAAAAAAAACTGTGAAAAAAGCTTTTCCACTTGAATTGTTGGCCCCTCTCAAAGGTCACAACTCTGCTAACCCACTTGATATTTAGTTTAATATGCCTTGGCAACCACCTAAAACAAAGTTTACCGATGGGGGATATGTTTAAGTCTAGTGGAGTTAACCCAYATGATATATTTACGTCTATTTTAAGACCTTAGGCTGTGTTTGGTTTGAAGGAAAAGGTAGGGAAAGGAAGGGAAAGGCAAGGAAACCTTTACAAATCTTGTATAGGTTTTCTTGCCTTTCCCTACCTTTTCCTTCAAACCAAACATAGCCTTAGGATATGTGAAGTAACAATGTTATTGTTTGCCTAACTTAAATGATTACCACTTGGAGCTAGCTCAATATTCATTTCAAACATGAAGTTAAATATTAGTTTTTTGTTTGTGTAATAGATCATTTGGTTGGTCTATTACAACCATTTACATTTTCTATGAGTTAAAATTTTGCTTTAACTCATTCTATCATGGAGCTCTGAATCTTAAGGTTTATGGGGCAACTTCAGAACATATTCTTTTGTCTATAACCTTAGTTTCTTAGCTTTGTTTAATGATTTGGAACAACACAATAATTTAAAAAGGTGTGCCTATGCTTCTTTATCATTTCATAAAATACCATTCTATATTTTGCATATTTTACAATGTTTCCACCATGTCTATAATTTTTACAATATTTCCATATGATATTTCCAACATTTCCGACATGTTTCTTATATTTGGAATTTTGGATGACTGATATGTCCACCAACATTGACATTTTAAACCTTAAATGACAGAAAGAAGAAAGGTTAAARTAGTTTACTCTTTCATTATATCTGTATGGACTAGTCCCTTTGCTACTCTACCCTAACTTACATACAAGCCCCAAGGAAGACACTRACTAAATAGATGTACATTCATATATAGTCTTTTTTGCAATTAGATGCTCCTGCATCACTATTATAGATATATTTATTTGGCTGGATTGCAGTTGCTATAAACCCTAACTAAAGCAATAGCAAGTTTGRTCAGAAACCTTAGCTTGAAAGGAGGACTACAATCACCAACCACCATACATGCATATTTGGYTAAATTTCTATCGCCATTGCAATTGAAGGTGCGTTTCATTTGTGGATGAGAGAGAGTATCATTAGAGATGCTTACCCCCCACCCCCACTTTTTTCCAAAAAAAAAAAAAACATAGAAGCTCCATTAACCACCGAAGACTACAACCTTTACAATAGGTGTCTTTTTTTTTTTTTTTTTGAGAATGTACACCTTTCCAATAGTTATCATTTGTATGTTTAGTATTATCCTAAATTTTCTTGGAAGAGCAACCCTGCCCCATTTCCACTGAACTCTTTGGCAGATCCACCTTAACAGGTTGGTTTGGTTCATGTTGCCTAAGCATCTCCATTGCCATTCTTATATTTGTACAAGTTATTAATTAAATTACCATAATATATACAACCTAAAAATACTTATTTTTTTCTTGGTGTCTACCAGTAACTTTTTCTCTTGGTTTTTCAATATCTTCTTTCTGCAGGAGACCCACAACAGTAGAGGAAATTCTGACAATAGAGATCAAACCAGGCTGGAAGAAAGGGACAAAAATCACATTCCCAGAGAAAGGTAATGAGCAGCGAGGTTTGATACCTTCAGACTTGGTCTTTATCATTGATGAGAGGTCACATATTGTCTTCAAGAGGGATAGCAACGACCTGATTGTCACACAGAAAGTATCTTTGGTTGAAGCTCTGACGGGTTACACAGTACAGTTGACAACACTGGATGGACGGAATCTGACCATCCCTATCAACTCTGTCATCAGTCCCAGCTATGAAGAAGTTGTTAAAGGTGAGGGAATGCCGATTCCCAAGGAACCTTCCAAGAAGGGGAACTTGAGAATCAAGTTCAACATCAAGTTCCCCAGCCGGCTTACATCTGAACAGAAGACAGGCATCAAGCGGTTGTTGACATCTTCATGAATAATGGTAGTAGATCTTTGCYCTCCTCATGCAAGTTCTATTGCATTTTTCCTTTGCTGCAATTTTCAGGTATGGAGGTTTATGCACTGTGCTTTTATTTATGGGAGCAACTATTGCAAGGTTATTCAGTATGTACCCATATATATCTTCTCTTTATTTGATGATTGGGTTGTCTTTTTCTTCCCTTGCCATCATTATGGCAAGACAATTTATTTTTTCTTTTAGGGGTTGGTGGTGGTGGAGTTCTAGAGTTTCTTTGTCTACTAATTGGAAGACCTGATACCCCTTGCCTCACTCCCCAAGAAAAAAAAAAAGAGAAAAGAATATATATTTGTGGGTATGTAATTAGTCTGTCCCTGTCTGTAGTGGTGTCAGAGCCAGGTCAAATCTTTTGGTCCTGAGTTGCCCCCCATGTCAAGGCCATTAGACTGTGTTGGTACAATCTTTCCGTGAAATTCTTGTGAAAGGTCTGGATTGTTGCTATGATCCTTGTGAATAGTTCACCTTATAGTTTCTTATTGCTTATTAGTGTCGGATATACTGAACTCAAGAATGTGGGTTTAATTTAAGCATGGATCATATTTATGTCTTGTTACTACAGCTTGACGGCCGCACTATGTGCAGAAAATCACTTTGGCTTTGTTTTGTCTTGGAGAATTTTTCTTAGTCTTGTGCCCTCCAAGCAACTATTACAAATCTGGTTAGGCTTTTCTGTCGACGTTTTGGCAAGTACTGCAGTGATTAAGAGTGAAGAGATGCAATGAAATATTTGCAGAAACCGGATATCTTTACAGAAAATTTTCTGAGTATGAGAACGGAAATGAACTCCATGCCTAATTTGTAAGGGAGGCTTTAATACTTTTGTGCTGATTGGAAGGATCTTCTGTGAGCTATAGAATTGTGTTGGAAGAATTTTTAGTTTTTAATCATATAATGGAAATGATTCAGAGGGCAGTTTCTTGCAGACTGAGCTTGTATTTGCCAGGTAAGTAGCATCCTGATGATGTCCCATTGTCGAAAACTAAGGCGGTCATGACCTGGAAAAGGGCCAAATATCCATTAGTTACAAATATACCTGAACGGTGTGAAACTTTCAGGTTGTGGTACCAGGTACTTCTTGCCCCTTGCATTAAGCATTGTAAATAATGGGTTAATGGCCAGCTTATGGAAACTGACGAGTGACGGCGACTGTTTTTGTTTGGACACCATACGTATACGTTTGATTGGTAGCAAACTAAAGAGCCATCACGAAAGTTAAATTTCTAGGCTAAGGCGGCACTCATCATTTACCATAATACCTTGCCTATTTTTTTATCATAATAATAAAGTTGGTAAGAAATCCCGTTCTTCTGGGAGCTTGAACTTTTAGGCTCAGTTTAGGAGTACAAATACAAATATGTACAGTGCAAATGCATACAAAATACAAGGTTTTGCATTCTACATATTTGCATTTGTAGTTTGTACTCTTTCCAAACTAAGCCTTAGAGACGAAACTTTGTAAAGGCAAATAAAATCCATGGGGCACATGTGGGGCGCAAATCTGAACTCACTTCACACAATCACTCTGCCCATGTGCTACCACTGTGCCACATTGCCACTATACTATAAATTCTCTCCCAGATTTCTCTTTGCTGGAATTCTTTCTCTTCTCTTTGTTATTAAACATCTTGGTGTCAACGGTGGCTCAGTTGGTGCATTGGATGAATTGTCCCAGCAGTGGTTCAAATCCCACTATTATCATCTCTGTTAAAAAAGAGATATTGATGTGATGTTATACTCTTTACTTAAAAGAGTAACGACTCCTATGAGGTGTCAAGCAGTGATTAATACCAAAAAAAAAACCTAACCTGGTGTCATGCAAACTAGCTTATCTCAATGTTGTGCTGCCACTCTGCTAGTATAAACCATTGTACCTTCACCAATATTGATAGAATCTGATGACTTGCATGTTACTCCTTCCTTTACTTGCGGAAAGATCTGGTTCACCGATATGGTGGGTAAAGATTCATTTCTGTGATTTCCTATGTTTTTGATCGACCAGTGCATCTTTTCATCTTGGCAATCAGCTAGAAAGGTGGGACTGTGTGTGTGTATTATCGAATCTTCTCAACTTCAGTTCATCAACATTAAGGACCCGTTTGGGAGGGCTTCAGTGTTGATTGAGCTGCTTCTGACTTCTGAGGAACTATCGAAAATACAAAATAGCTTAACCAGAAAATTGATTCTACAGCTCATGGAAGCCTATTTTTTGGCTTTTCAGGTTTTTCAGCAAACACGATTCCATGGGTTTCTATGTGGGGCCTATCTTGCATTGCAACACTAGAAGCCACTGCATGAAAGCCCTCTCAAATGAGTACTAAGCACAAATTGTTCTCCTTTGGCAAAGAGCCTTCAACAATGGTGTCCATTGAAATTGGAGTAGGTCGAGTTATAGGATGTGCGCCTACTCTGTGATATTGGTGGTAGATGGATAAGGTGTTATGGGTGGTTATTGGGTTGGCCTTCAACCTGCACAAGTTGAACTCACCCAATTGTCATCCCTACTTTTGATCAGCAGTAGTATATCGAGTCTCTGCTCCACGTCCTTCTAGTCCTAGATTCCCCCAACTCAGAGCACAAACTCCCTGCATGGTTGCCACTTCGGCATAATTGAAGAGAAGGTCTATATTCCAACGAAAGGGTTGTGGATCGCTGCACCTATCACATAATAATCTATAATCAGTGGCTGACAGTAGCTTAGGCGGTAATTCACAACTCTTTACCAAAATTTCCTTCCTACTCATATATGAACATGTGGTCTCAAGGAAGAGGACGTTCGCTGTTAATTAGGTTTCAAATGGAAGTGACTTGGATTTGAGGATGAGGGGAAGGGAAGAATAAAAACCAATTCAACAGCTTTGCAGCTCAATAAAAGGGAAAGAAAAAGAAGATGACATTGAAGTAGACATGTAAGAAGGCTGACCAAGTCAACATCAAATTGCTATAGTATATCTCTATGCTTTCTAAATGCATCATTTTGTTCATTTGTTCCTTCTTGTTTTGCTGCTGCATTTGGTTGCGTGTAAAATAAAAGAAAACAAACAATTTGATTGGAAATGATTTTCATTTTCAATATAAAAAAAAATGAACCATTTTCCTAATTTTCCTTATGTTTGGCTTATCTTGAAACTGTAAATAGTAAACCTAAATAGTTGAAACATATATGGGTGTTATTACCCTTTTGTGGAAAATTATGTACATAAGGCTGCGTTTGGAAACGATGCAAATGGAGTGTAAATCCCGGTTCAGGGTAAATTTGCGTTCAGGTTCATTTTTGCCTGTGTTTGGTAACATTACATTTATGCATTGACAAATGACAGACCAATGCATATTTACATTGATAATAAGATGTAAAAGTACATCAATAAAAAAGAAGTAAATTTGCATTCGAGTGGATTTTTGATAAAAAAAAAAAGCATATACTTTTTTGAAATTCATGTTTGCATCAATTTCAGCTAAAAGTCTGTTTGGTAAGAAGGTAAATCTGTCAATGCAAAACTAACCCAACTTTGCAATTTATATGAACCATTTTACACTTTACATATTTGCATTCGCACTTATTTGCATCATTACCAAACGCAGCCTAAGATCCTAAAAACAAGTCATTTTCCATCTAAAGCCCCAGTGAGAATAAGTGACCCATCACATGTTGAAAGGTGGAGACATTTTTTTTGTAATTAAAAAAAGGTCAAGAGTCGGGGACAGACCAAAAAATTGAAGTAGTGAAAAAATAATATAATAATAATTCAGATAAATAGACTGCACTCCACCTCAGAAATCTGAAATTACAGCCATCTCTTAGTCTACTAGTAGCCCCCCCACCTCCTATAAACCACATCCCGCCCATGAATTTGGTATCAATCCATGGTCAGATTCATCCCACGTGTACGGTGGGACTCAAATTTTTTAGGTGAACTGAACTATAAAAACCCCATAACAGTGGATCTAGCACTTGTTACAAGCGAATAGGACCACGATTTAGATAGGGTTCTTGAAAGCCCATGAACCTACCACCACACATAATCACATTACGCCCTATACCTCTCAATTCACTGCTCACAAGTCACAGCACACAACCCAGGAGTACCCAACATGTAAGCTTTCTAGCAGACATCATAAGGGATTGAAACTAATGCTTGTGTTAGCAATGGACTAAGTTAGAACCTTGGGAAGCTTTCAGAGCAGACAGGCACACTCATCAAAGGGGAATAAGGAATATAATGATCGCATTGAGACCAACAACCATCAATGAAGAGGTGGGTTTTCTTAGTGACAAAGACCACTCTATGCATGATAGGACTGGGGAACAAGGAAAGTTGACACTTGGCCAATCTGAAAACTAGAAAAAGACTTCAATTCAACATACTCAGGATGATAAGATCGAGCTCATGGTGAAGAAATTTTAGTTTTAATTGACAGTCAATATCAACCATGAATGTACTCAAACCTGGGGTAGTTTCAAATCCTTATCCTACTAGTGCATGAAATAAATGAGAAAGTGGCTCTCTTTCAACTTTCTACTTTAAACTTGAGTGGACTTTGAGCCACACAAATAGAAGATGGAGCAGGGATTTGTTTTGGGCCTGTTTTTCTTGGAGTTTGGACCACCACCCAAAGCGTTCAAATTTCAAACCTAACGCCATGGTTATGGCATCAAATTTCAGTAAGATCGGATGAAATTTTGATTCTGAGCCTTTTGGCATTTTTGGCTGGATTTATTGAAGGATCACGTATAGAAAATACAACATCCAACAACCACTAGGATCTTTGGATACTCATCTCATCACCCAGGATATTCGAGAATTCACCATACGATACAAATATTTACACTTTGTTTCCTTTCTGAACAAAGTAGAGTAGGGTTTTGTTGTTTTTCTTGATTAATCGGTACGTTATCATGAACAGATTCAGATTGCTTTGAAGAATAAAAAATAGAAAAGTAAAAGACAAAAACTTTGGTTTTTCATGAGCTCTTTCCAAGTGGTGGTAATCTTATCAGTGTCATGATGATAAGTTTCTATCTTTTTCACTTTTAGTTAGAATAGGAAAGTTTCGCCTCTCCATTGTTTCCAAGTGGACAAGTTATTTTGTTTTGTTACCGAAAATAATGAATGAATGAAGTTTTCCTTCTGTTTCAAGGCTACTTTCAGAAACAAAAGATATATGTACAAGTTGTGATCAAAATAAAAATGTCTACGGGTCAAATGGAAGTATGAAAACGAAAGAAACAATTATAAACCACTCCACTATTGTTGATGGTTTTTTGGGAGCCTGGATCTCCTGCAAATAAAAACTCTGCTCACGTAGCATCAAGCGGTAAATTGGGAAATGTTTCAAATTGCGAATATCCCTGTACATGTTAAGTAAATTCATATGGAATGTGCGGCTGGATTAATGTGCTTTTACAGTGTGCGTAGAGTTTTTACTTGAAGGGAGTCCATCTTGGATGTTAGCATTCTAACTGTTTTTATGTATCCTAGAACACCATAAACATTAGGGAAAAATTTCGATCAGTACCCTATATTTTGGTTCAAGTGACAATTTGGTATCCAAACTTTAAAATGCAACAATTCAGTATCGGAACTTTCAAAATGTGACAATCTAGTACTTGCCATTAACCAGTCCGTTACTCGGCTGTTAAGTGACATTTGAAAAATAAAAAATGCCCATATAAATTCTCTTTATCAACCATCCAAACATTGACAATAAAATAAACAGTTCCAAATTCTAAATCCTTTTAACCAGTCATCAACTTTTTTGAATAGAAGAGGCTAGGATTGAGACTGTTCGGTTTTTTGTCAACGTTTAGATGGTTGATAAAGAGAATTAAATGGCATTTGAAGGGCAATTTTGACTTTTCAGATGTCACTTAACAGCTGATTAACAACAAGTATTGGGTTGTTATATTTTGAAAGTTTGAGTACT